ACTTAACAAACAAACAAAAAATAGTTTAGTACTTTGAGAGGGTAAATTCAGAAATAGACTTTCTCCAGAGTGGAATCTACAAACCTTCAGAACATGATCTATATTTTAGGAAGCTTCAAGTACATGAGAGCATAGAGTTTACTTCAAGCACCAGCTTGAAACATGCACGAAAAATTCCTGAAGCAATCACACCAAGGCTAAGATCCTATGTACAGTTACTCAGGAGTAAGTCCCAATGAATTCTGTGGAACATCCTCCTCAGTTAACAGGCATTATATAGATAAGTTTTACTGCAGTTTGTTCCCTGCAGTAACTGTGGTAAGCCACAATCGTAGCTTATCAACTCAGCCTCCATGTGCAGTAGATACATACAGACACCTCTACTTTTTTCTGCTTTCAACCCACCCTTGAAATGCTCTTGTGTACCCTAGACATCTTACAGGAAGTTTCTGACTTCTTACTCCCAAAACAATCCAGACATCTCTAAGACCCAGATTTAACCCTTTCTCAGCCTCATTATCCAAAAATTAAGCCTTCATATTTTCTTTAAAAAAAAAAAAGCAATGCCAGGGGCTCTTTATTTTTCTACTCCTGGAAAGCTCAACCCTTGCAAATAAATGAAAGTGTAGGGGAAAAGAAAATGTCTCTGGCCATAGGCAGAGTACCTTTTCAAGTGGCCATTTGCCTCATCACAACCCATTTCTACACATCTGGGATCAGTAGGGAGAAAGACTTCTGGATCAGGGTTTCCAGGCATATTTGAGCTCCTCTTTCTCTTTATTTTTGAAATTAACTATCAGCAAAAGCAAAAGGAGAATAACCAGTATTGTTTCAAGTTGTGTTAGTAGGATCACTAAGCCCAGGAAATTCTACCCTTCAGTCACCTGGGTTAGAGCTCTTGTGTCCACCAGTCAATGTACACTGCTGAGCAAGAATTTAACATCTCAAATGGGGCTATTTTAATTGTAAAAAAATAACATTTCTTCAAGCATTTGCAGACCCCCCGTGAGGACATGGTGGCTCCCTGGGAGCCTGCAGACCTGACCATAGGTTAAGGACCCCTGTTTCAGAGCATTAAAAAAATACAAGATCTCAAGTCTGCATTTGATGAGATAAGGCCTTTGCAAACTTCCAGAAATAGTGCACATTAAATTGAGGCACTGCCATGACTCAGTGCTAGGGAATCATGGGAACTGTAATTTATTGTGGCACCAGAGCTCTCTGACAGAGAAGGCTCAATGTCTCAGAAAAAAATAGAATTCCCATGACTCCCTAGCACTGAGCCAGGGCAGTGCCTCAATTTAATGTGCACTATTTCTGGGTGATTATTTGGGAGACAAGGGGCCTCTGCAGACCAGGGCGTCCAGGACGCCCTGGTCCGGGGCACCGCGGGGCCATGGCAGCCTCACCGCGGCGCTCCTCCGGCAAATCTAAAAGGAGCGCCAAATTGGCGCTCCTTTTAGATTGCAGGGAAAGTGCGCCCCAAAAGCGATGGCCGCACTTTCCCTGACTCAAACGCTGTGGCGAGTGCGGTCGCCGTGGCGTGTGGTCAACCCGGAAGCGCCAGCCGTGCGGATGGCCGGCGCTTCCAGGGGCGACCTCAGGAAGAGGAAGGGGCGCCGAACGTGCGGCTGCCCCTCCTCTTCCGGGCCCAGAAGACGACCCAATTAGTTGTCTGCCGAGGCCCTAGGTACCTACACAATTAAAGCAACCTATTAAGGACCTAAGATTCAGTATTTGTGTTTGTTTGGGGTTTTTTTGGGGGGGGGGGTTAAAAAAAGTCATTTCATCAGCAGGAAGCACCATGCCCTTTTCCTTTCAAAGTTTATTATATATTGTTTTTTCATGCAATAATGAGTACATGATAGTTGTGATTTCATAGCAGTTTAGTCTGTGGAGAGCTTTCTTACACTTGTCAACATTTGGGGCTGTTATTCTGACCTATAATTGGGTCTTACTGTGTGATCCAATGTTGTGGTCTGTTTATCTAGCACAACATCTTTGAATCCAACAGCAGTGAGTATGGATTTGTGAACCATATGCACTTTTCTTCTTATTTGTAGCCAGTTTTCCCCACTTCTCTTTTGGGTGTGCGAAGGGAATAAAAAAAATGGGAAGAATGCTTTAAACAGGTGATTTCTCAAGTTTTGATCTAATACTTTGCTTTAAAATATTTACATTTAAAATGGGTAAGACCAGGGTTTAAATCCTCACTCATCTGTGGAAACCCAGTGGGTGACCTTGGGCAAGTGGCATACTCTCAGCCTCAATGGCAGACCTTCTTTGAACAAATGTGCAAAGAAGACCATTAAGTGACAGGTTACCTTAATGCCATAGTGAGTTGGAAATGACCTGAAGACACCCAAGAACAAAATTATGCAATTGCAGTGTGAAGATATACCTCTTTTTAAGGATCAGATGAGTATTATCTTTAACTAACAAAATATTCCTGAAATGTATTTTTGGTTAAACTTAAACCTTTTCAGTAAGGTTTACATACATAGCAAATATCCAAGTATTGATTATTAATTGTTTTCATATCTGTCTGACATACACATTTAAAACTGCCTTACATTTTTCGTAGAGGTCACTGCTGCCTATCATTCATCAAACTATACATTTACTGTAACTCTCTATTTAATCTATACTGATTGATTATCCTTTTAACTCCAGTGAAGGAATATCCTATTCCAATAAGTCACTGTAGCATGATAATCTGTCATATTAAACTAGATTTTGCATAACACAAATCTTATTTTGTTTAATAAAGTGTGTAATAAATCCCAGTACTATACAAGTGAAGCTCTGCATAAAATTATGGAAGAAAAAAGGTATTATCTGCTGTGGGAGCCTTGCCAAGATTGGAAGAGAGCCTTCTCCAAAAAGGAGAATTCCCATTACAAGTTAGTGAAACTACCCAGTAAAGTTTCACTAAACTTCACTAAACACTAAAGTATCAAACCTGAACAAACTGTGGCCAGTCTGATTCTTAATTATGGTTAACAGAAACAGGCAATCTCCAAACTAATTTATGAATTTGAGTGTTATGAACTGATCTTAGTTAAGATTAATTGCTGTTCAGAATTCAAATGACACAGTAAACTGGTTAATCTACAATAAAAATGCTTTTGGTCTACTTCTGACAGTCTTGGAGGAGAAAATAGGAGAGCATATGATCCCAAGGCACATGAACTCTTGTTCTTATAATGCTAAATCTTGTAATGCTAAACCAAGAGCCATTTTACACAGGACAATTATAACACTATGACATAGTTCTGTGAAATCCACAGATTTGTAGTTTAGGGAGGACTACTTAGAATTCTCAGACAGAGAGCTCTAATGCCTCACCAAACTGCAAGGCCCTTCTTTCCATAGTATGTAGCTATGGCTTTCAAGTGGAATCATAGTACAATAATTGGATACTGTGAAAGGCCCCAAATGTCGCCTCCAATTGGAACCATTGTTGTTGTTGTTGTTGTTGTTGTTGCATTTCTATCCTACCTTTCACCTGATATAGAGATTCAAGGTAGCTAACAAAAAATTTAAAACAGTACAAGTTAAAAACAATACAAGCACATTAAAAGCGTAGATATGAAGTTTTTTTAAAAAAAAACAATTTTAAAAATGGAAAAGCATTACACATTAAAATTTAAAATGCATTAAAAACTGTATACAAACCTTAAAAACTGAATTATGCAACATTTAAATCCCAATCCTTGTCAGTTTGAGAAAGTCTGATGGCACAACAGTGTTTTTTTCTGCCACCAAAAGGGGAACAGGGCTGGGGCCATCCCGACCTCTTTAGGGAGGAAGTTCCAGAGCCTGGGAGCAGACACTGAGAAGACCTTCACTCTTGTTCCCACCAAATGAGCCTGAGAGGGTGGTGGGACAGAAAGGAGGGCCTCTCCTGATGATCTTAGTGCTCTAGTGGGCTCATAAAGGGAGATGTGGTGCCTTCACTAGAATGTGCCCATTTCTCTTTTCCAGAATTTGGAGGGTCAAGTACTGAGTTTTTCTTGGAGATTGCTATGTAGCATGTGTCTTTTAGAGATTTTGGAACAGACTTGGGCAGTTACATATTAGAACTCTGAACATTGTTGGAGCCTGGGTATAAGACTGGTGTTATTCCTCATAGTAGATTTTAACCTTTCTTCTCCATCCTTCTTCCATATCTACTTTCCCATTGCCTGACTTAGGACTCCAGTTGCATCTAGCTGTATGAGAACTGACTAGGAAATTTTGTGTCCCTGATTTTTTCATGTACTTGTCACCAAATTCCCTGACTCATGGAAACCTTGCAACTTCTTCTCATCTTATGCATCAGATTGTCCCTAAACACTTGTGAGTTTTCTGTTGTGGCCTTTTAAACAATATTTTATATTGTTGAATTTATAAAAATTGCTTTAGTTGTAACTGTTCATTGTATCAATGCTCTGACTGGTCTGGACATACTTATAATTTTCTTATTTATGTTGAATTTTTAGCAATGTAGTTTAATGATTTTAAAGTTCTTTGTCCTAAATGCAATTGCTAGTCCAAACTAGAATAGGTTCATTGAATCCACTGCTGAATTGTCAACACTTACACAAATCTATTGACTCAGTGGATCTACTCTAGTGGAGACTAGCAATTGGATTTAAGTTATTCCATACAATGTAAATAATTTTTGCTCTAAAAAAGACATATAAATATTTTATATAATAAATAAATATTCTATCCAATACTTTTGACCTCCTACATTTGTTTTCTGATGTATATTTTGTCTTGATTTAAAAAAAAACAATAACTGTCTTAAGGCTATTTTTCTGAAAAATATGCAAGTTTTGCCTTATAAAAAAGATATTGTTATTGTGTCCCTTCAAGTTATTTCTTTTTTATGTCCACCCTAAGGCAAACCTTCTTGGGGTTTTCTTGGCAAGAATTGTTCAGAGGAAGTTTGCCATTGCCTTCCTCTGAGGCTGAGAGGATGTCACTTATCCAAGATCACCCAGTGGTTTTCATGTCTGAGCAGGAAATCAAACCCTTGTCTCCAGAGTTATAGTCCAGTACTCAAACCACTATACCATACTGGCTCACATAAGAGATCTACAGCTTCCTTAACATTTCCTTGTAATAAGAATGCCTTGTGGGGGTTGCTTATAATAAAAATGCCTTGAGGATTTTGCTTGTTTTTTCCCATTTGATGACACTTTTACATCTGTATAAAAAATTTAACACAATAATATTTCTAAATTGATACCAGTTGGAAAGGGTTGTTTTTTTTTTTTTTGTTTTGTTTTTTAATGGATTGAAGTGCTCTGTCACTGTAAAGTACGCTACTGGTATTACATTTATTAATACCAAAACCTAGTCATTAGGAAGGAAAAATGCACATTTCCCCTAAATGCTAGAATTTGAAATAGGCAAAACTTTTCCCACCTGAAATGCAGCAGTCATGAGTGACAGATGGAAAATATAAATATATTAGATTTATCTTGCATGTTTCTCTTCCCATATCTATTTCCTGCAGTTAAAAATTAGATGTATTATATCCTTTTTATGATAGTTGTATTATATCCTTTTCATGATAGTTTGTAGCCAAATCAGAAATTATTTCTACATAGGCTCCATTGAAAGAAAACACCAATGTATCATTAAGACCTTGCAGTCTAGGAGGAAGAGTTTATAAATCTCTTCAAAAGCATGGCCAAGATCTGTGTGGAACTTGGAAATGCATTCATTTTTATTTATTAAATATTAATATTACATTTTTTAAAAATATTCATATTAAAGGATATTTTGAGCATGCAGCTAATCCCAGACATACTTCCTTAAACCTAGGAGCCAAGTAAATATATTTTGTCATAGTTTTGGTGTGATTTTTCTTTATACTTGAGAGATATGTGTATTTCATCTTTTTTAAAATTATATGTTTCTTTTCCTTGGCTGCTAAAGTAGAACTAGTGGTTCATTTCTGAAGTGTAACATGTCAAAAATACACTGGTCATCTAGGCATCATTATTTCATAACCAGCAGTGAAATGTACTTCCATTTTCACTCTAGCCTTTATTTATGCCTGGTATTGATATTTCTCTTATGCAGTTCATTTTCTTTTTTTGTAAATGTTTAAAGTATTGGATCTCTTTGGCCCTAGGGTTCTTTGGGTCAATTGAGCAGCACATCCTTGCAAGAGGAAGATTAAGAAGCATAGCATGGATCACAGGGAATGTGTTCTGCCTCACTTAATGAGGCTAGAAATGAGATGGACTGGCAGAATTTCCTATAATCATGCTATCTGAAAAATCAAAAGATAGACCAAGCTGAGGGATGTCTACTTTGTGCAGAATAACATGTTCACTGTTTCATTAAAAAAAAAAAGATTGTGATGCTGAAAATGATTTACCACTTTTTCCTCTAATTAAATAATTTTAAATTATTGCCAGTTATAGTAGTCATGTTTGGTTATTTTTCAAAGGACTAAAAAGGAATATATGTGTATAAATATTAGTCAAGAGACTATGCTGATGGTAGCAGTACTGCTGGTAAAGTTTTCCATGTTTTGCCGAAAAATCAGACTAACTGTACTGAACAGATACTGGGCAGCAGCAGTAGTGGAGGGTGACACTGGCGGAGGATAGCGGAGTCAGCGGCAGGGGCACTATAGAGAAGGGTTTGCAGTACTGTGCAGAGGGAGTCTCCAGTAAACATCCTTTTGCAGATCTTTTACTACAAAAACTCTATGATGAGACAATCCATAATGAAACAAGAGATAGTGCCAGAGGATGAGACTCCAAGGTCAAAAGGCACTCAGCGAGTTGCTGGAGGGTTGCAGATGACAAGTACAAGTAGCACTTTGGCTAATGACACAACTGGACTCAAGCTGAAGTTAACTTTCAGTTGTTGATGTGCTCAGAGGTAGTGATGTAAATTGCACTCATAGTTCTTCTTGTCTCTGAAGAAGGACAGGAAGTTTATTCCATTCTCCCTGCATATGAACTGCATGATAATTAAAATGTCTCATCACTTACACAGTCCAGAGCTGACTCATTCCAATTTCAAATGAAATAACTGGGTGTGTAGTTACTTGAAATTCAATGTTATATATGTTTTTATTGCTTTATTGCTTCAGGTTTTTTTCCATAGCAGTTAAATAGCATCTTCAAGTCTAGCCACATAGGAAGGTGTAGCCACATAGGAAGCTTTTATTTGTGTTGTATTGACAATGGAATGTTTAAACTGTGTGTTGCTCTTGTTTTGCAAATGACTGGAATCAAATTTGTCAACCCTAAAACAGAAAATATCACACAGGGGTGGGGGAAGTTTACAAGGAGGATACAGCGAAGACAAATTAGGATCAGTTTTCCAGTTCAAGTCATGTGTTGCAATCCAACTCAAATGGTCTGTTACAGAAGCACTCTCTGTAACTCAGAAGATGCACACAGTGGTGTGATATTTTTCCTCAGAGCCAGTTCCCTGAAGAGGCTACAAATATTCATGCAGTTGTATTGATCCATACCTGTCAGAGCTTGGAAACACTGGGGTTTTGGGGGAGGGCTACAGCTTCCACAGCTGGATGGGGGATTATGAGAGCTGTAGTCCATAACTTTTTCAATGCCTTATTCTCCCCTCCCTCCCCTCCAGTGCATACTGTAATGCACTGGACTCAATGGAGGATACAAATTAGACATATAATGTCCTATTCAATATACACCTTTTCCTTTTTAAAGCCAAATGGGAGCCATTTTGAGCAACCTTTGGAGTCTACAAGACTTGAACAGGGCAGTTGATGACCAGGGCTAATAGAGGTTTCTCATTCATAGAGTTGCTTTAAATTGAAGTTGACTTGATGGCATTTACCAACAACAGAACTCTCATGATTTTTTTTTTAAAAAATCTTTTGCATTAGTGTTGGTTCATCAGGCAAACTTCAAAATGGAAGATATGAATGCATGTGACAAAATCTTTTCCCCCAAGTATTTGTAGAATGCAGGCAAATGTATTGTCATTTTAATGGGATACAAATTCCTTTTATTGTGCACAAAATCCTCCTTAATCCAATCTAATAGGATGAAAATCCATTGTAGTGACTGACTTAAATGATTATTTGGTTTCTTAATCAAAGAAAAAATGACACATTTCACTTATTTGCAAGTTGTATTTTATTTTCAATTATTTACCATAATATGTGACAGAATGTGAGTCAACAATGCCTGTGGTTTCCGTGATTTTGTATTAATAGGTTAAGAGTTTACATCCACTTTCTCTCATATTAAATCCCTGACCTTCAAATGATTCCATGATGAATAAACTGTCTTGATTATTCTGCATCTGTGTTAAATGGAATGTTTGGATTTAAATTCCTTCAATACACTTAGAAGGGTGAGTAAGTTTTGTAGAGAAAGTTTAAGTTGCTCCTTCATATATAACTTGTAAAGCAGAACCAGGCTGGGTCTCTTGCATCCATTTCGGTTTACAAACCATAGAGCAGCAATCAGTTGCTGTTCAGGTTGCTCCAGATACCTTTCCTACTTTTTAAGTATCTAGGGGTTACTATTAACTTCATCTTACAGAAGGATTGAGAGCCTGTGTGGTGTAGTGGTTTGAGCATGGGACTACAAATCTGAAAACCAGGGTTCAAAACCCCTGTCAGCCATGGAAACCCACCAGGTGATCTAGGGCAGGTCACATTCTTCCAGCCTCAGAGAAAGTGAAAGGCAAAACCCCTTTGAACAAATCTTTCTAAAAAGGCCCCACAATAAGTTTGTCTTAGTGTTGCCATAAGTCCGAAATTACTAGAAGGCACACAACAACAACAACAACAGGATTAATCTTTTGTGTAATGTTTTACCATATGCTGAAAATTTATTTGAGAAATAGTTAGACTTATCTGAGGTTTGCCCTCCTATTTCACAGTGGTAGTTGGGTGAGGGGCAGAAGATAGTTATTGCTTCTTTTTCTTCTTCACATGAAAGCTCATTAATAGTGAGCTATCCATTCATTAATCCCGGGCTGTCTCTTCTGCATGTGGAATGGTCTCCCCACATATAAGACACAGATTTTCTGGAAGGCTATTGAGCTGTCCACCACTGTGACTGTTGCCTGTCAACTTATGGTGACCCCATTGATTTCATAGGGTTTTCTTAGGCTAATAATATTCAGTACTGTTTCCCCCCCCCCCCCAGTTTCTTACTTTGAAATGTAGTCTAGAGCACTTGGGAGTCCTTGATGGTCCCAAGTACTAACCAGGCTTGACCTTGTGTTGTTTTCATGATCAGATGGGATCTGATGCCTTTAGGATATTGAAGCAACTGCCCGGTAGTAATACTCCATAAGGACAAAAGAGGGATAATCAGGAAAGGCTGGATCCAGTAGATCCAAAGTTTCCTCTGATCTTTCCTCTTTTGTTCCTTGGACATTCCTGCACAGTGACATTATGTCTTTCCCTCACAATGGAAGCAACAAAAGGTTGTAGAGGGGAACGCAAACACTCTTACAATAGCATGCTATGAATACCACCTCCGTTGGAGTGCTCTGTAAAAATGGTAAGAGGACTGATAATCACAACACTAGATTCAGCCTTTTGAATTAAAAATGATTTCCATGTGTATACAGGCTTAGAACTGCACACATGTTTGATGTGGTTTTGGTGCCTTGCCTTAGAATTGCACATTTCACAGAAACAGTTACCTGTAGTGGAAGAAACACTATCGTATGGTGGGCTGTGGTATGTTTTATTTTTGCAGGACTTTGTCCCTTTATATTGTGCATTGCATGGTGAGAGTAGCAGTACAAATAGGCACTTTATATATTAAAAGATTAAACCAGCTGGAAGGAACTCTGTATCTTTGTTGCTGAGCAAAGAACAGCAAATAACATTGTCTCATAGGTGCCTAAAGTCCTAAATAAGAGAACACTCCAATGCACTGTGCTAAGCACAGCATATTATTTGGATCTGTGTTAAATTGGGCTTAATATCATTGTAACATTTTTTTTAAAAAATCACTACACGTTTAGTAAAGTGCTTCAGCATTTTTTAACATGCTGGGATAGCTTTTAAAATGTTCTCTAAACTCACCTGGGAGGAAAAAATACAAATAAAATAAAAGCTGGTTCTGCAAAACCTAGTAAGTGTCTTACAAGTAAATATTATTTAAACCACATAAGCTAGTTATGATTGCTTATGTATTTACTTGATGTTTGATGGTGGTGTTATTCCTATTGTGAACTGTTTTTGTAAAGATGATAGCACTCCCATTTGCTTGCCTTCATTTATGCTGGACAAATTAAACATTAATCAAACAGTTCTCCTTTTGCCGATGGAATGAATATAGGAAGCCCCTGCTTATCTGATGGGTTAAGGGCCAGAGCACTGTAGGAAATTGGAATCTGTTGAAAAGTGGAACCCAGAAAATTTGCAAGTGCATTTGCTGATAAAAACATAAATGACACACTACATATCACCTCTGAATATGTTCAGTTAAGGTCAAAATACACTATAACTGCTTGATCTGCTTTTATATATATATAAAGGGACAGTGGTTTGGTAACTGCTCCAGGATGCCAATTACCTCATTCCAACTTTGTCCCTAGTAATACTATTTTGTATTTTTTGGATTTTGGAGATGGCTATAATTAATGGGAAACCCTAACACCACTGAAGCTCCACATAAAGTGCTTGTTGTTAACCAGCCTTGAGTCAATCTTAACCCATGGCAACCCTGTGGATGAGACATCTCCAAGACTCCCTATCTTCTACTATTTTTCTAGGTTCTTGCAGTTTCATGTTCATGATCTCCTTAACTGAGTCCATCCATCTAGCATGTGATCTTTCTACTTCTTTCCACATTATTGTCTTTTCTAATGAATCATGGCTTCTCATGATGAGGCTAAGGTACAACAGCCTGAGTTTAGTCATCTTTGACTCCAGGGAAATTTCAGGCTTGATCTGCTCTAGGACCCATTTATTTGTTCTTCTTGCTGTCCATGGTATCCTCAGCACTCTTTTTCAAATGACTTTATTCTCTTTTTGTCCATTTTCTTAACTGTCCAGCTCTTACATCCATACATGGCAATGGGGAATACAGTTGCTTGTGCGAGTCTAATTTTCATGCTTAGTTGTATATCTTTATTCTTTCTGAGCTTTTCTAGTTCTTTCATAGCTGCCCTGCCCATTCTTAATCTTTGAATTTCTTGACTGCAGTCCTCGTTCTGTTTTATCCAAGGTATAGGGACTCTTTTACTACTTCTGTATCCTTATTGTCTAGATTGAACTTGTGAAGATCCTCCATGGACATTATTTTTGTATTCTTTATGTTCAATAGTAAGCCTGCCTTTGCACTTTCTTCTTTGACCTAGAGGCACAGTGAAGAGCCCTGGTGGCGCAGTGGTTAAATGCCTGTACTGCAGCCACTCACTCACAAACCACAAGATTGTGAGTTCACTCCCAGCCAGGGGGTCAGGCTCGACTCAGGGTTGCATCCTTCCAAGGTTGCTAAAATGAGTACCCAGCTTGATGGAGACAATTAGCTTACAGTTGTAAACTGCTTAGGCTTAGGGAATGCTTAAGTGCACTGATAAGCAGTATAGAAATGTATTTGCATGCTACTTTCTGCTAATAATATGGTGTCATCTGCATATCTTAGATTGTTGATGTTCCTTCCTCCTATTTTCCCTCCTGTGTCTGTGTCTAAGCCTGCTTTTCTTATAATATGTTCTGCATACAAGTTGAAAAGATTGGGTGAAATGATGCAGCCTTGTCTGACCCTTTTGCCAATTGGGAACCTTGGCTAACCCTTTTGCCAATTGCCAATTCGGTTTCTCTGTGTTCTGTTCTAACAGTAGCCTCTTGTGTCAGGTACAGATTCCTCATCAGGAAGATCAGATATGTTGGCACTCCCATGTTTTTAAGGGCATTCCATAGACTTTCGTGATCTATGCAATCAAAAGCTTTGCTGTAGACTATGAAGCACATGCTGATTTTCTTTTGGAATTCCTTGGTGTGCTCCATTAGCCCTCGTATGTTTGCAGTGTGGTTCCTGGTTCCTCTTCCTCCCCTGACCCCCCCCCTTACACCTCTGGGATTTCTCTTTGCATGTATGGTTGGAGTCTATGTTACAGAATGTTGAGCACGATTTTACTTTCATGGGAGATTACTACTACGATCGTATAGTTGCTGCATTCTTTTGTGTTTCCTTTCTTGTGGATGGGGATATAAATTGATTTTTTCCAATCTGTTGGCCACCATTTTGTTTTCCATATCTGTTGAAATATGTTGGCAAGGATTGGAGTTGATTCTGTCAATATAGATTGTAGTAGTTCAATTGGAATATTATCTGTTCCTGGTGATTTGTTTTTCGTCATTTCTCTTATTGTAACTTCTACTTCACTTTTTAAAGTTTGGGATTCATCTTCATATGGCTCATAAAGTGCTCGTAGCGTCCAAATATGTGGCTGTGCATTTAAAACAACAGACTTTTTAATTGTTTTGTTTTTGTTTCTTCAGTTGTTTTTTTAAAACCATGTTAGGTGTCTTGGGTTTATTTTTTAATGGAAAGGCAGGCTAAAAATAAAAAAAAGGAGTCTTATACTATACTGTTTAAAGAAAAGTAGTATAATGCCATGTGGCTCGTTGTATTATGCCCTTAATAGAGGAATGTATGGGGAAAGAGCTTAGCATTTCTTTGGTCTTGGGCCAGACTCATTGTGTGTAGCATTTTCAATAATAATGTTGCAGCACCATTATCACACACTTCCCTCTCTCCCTAGTGCTTAATTTATAAAGCTGTTTATCCCTCTTTTCCATGTTGCACATTTTCCACTTTTCATAAAATCTATTTTTCTTTGAAGTTGTGCTCTGCAAACTAAATATTCACTTTTATTCCCTCCCTCTTGCCTGCCTACACCTCTTTCAGATTTGTTTAGGTTTAATGGTTGATTTTTAAGTGTTTGTGTAAGGTTATTTCCTTGTCACCAACCTGTGAATCCCTCATGGCATTATTTTAAAAGAAAAACATGCTGCTTAAAGTGATCTTCACACTGTATCCTAGCAACTGGCTATGATTAATCATACTTTCCAGGTAAAAGGAGGATAGATAAATTCTGAATTGATTAGTGAAAGGTTGGTTGGTGATCAGGAAGAAGCATCTGATCTAAACTTGTAATTAAGCCTGTAAGAAATAACAAGGAGTAAAATGATAGTTTTAACTATAGAAGTATGGCTGAAGGAAGAAAATAGGATGGGTGGATATTTTTCTACTCTTCATGAACAGTGTGCATGGACACATTAACATTTTCATTGGGTGTTCAGTCCTACAGCAGGAAGAGAAGGAGTGGCCTTACACCAAGTCAAATATTGTACTATGTAGCTCAATACAGTCTGCACTGAAAGGTAACAGCTCTCTTCAGCCTAGTGTATAGAATCATAGAATCATAGAGTTGGAAGAGACCACAAGGGCC